CTGACTCTTATTCCTCTCATGCTGATTAAGAGTGAGAACTCTAATCAGGGATTCATGTTTCAGGGTCTGCAAACAGTGATGCTTTCCCTACTCCTATGTTGGTTTTGTGGGTTTTAGACTGTAGAGTGGTATTATCCTCTGACAAATGATACAGGTAAAGGTGCACATGCAAACTCAGGTACTTAGTGGCATCATATTTCAATTGATTTTGCGTGACTCCATCAGTGAAAGCACATTTAGGGAATTTATTGTCAACTTGAGATGCTTCTCAAGTTAAATGGCTTCCAAACATTGTGTTCAGAAATCTAAAATACCTCTAAGGAGTGAAAGTCTCCGAATTTACTTAGAGTGATATTTGTATCAAAAATCTATGGCATAGGTCTAAACTGGTCCAAAGTCTGGTATTTGAAGATGTTAATAGGAAGACATATTAGAACATGTACCAGAACACGTAGCTTCCTGCAGAAGCTAGCTCCAGTTTTGCATCTGTTGAAGCAAATATTTAAAGTATCCTTTTCAGGAATGGAGCATCAGGTGTTCTAGGCTAATGGTTCTTCCTTGTCTGGAAGCCTAATTCCTGCTTGTCTCAACATTTCTTTTGTAATTAATGTGGTTTTTTTATTAGACTCTCTTGATATTGGCAATATAATTTATCTAAACCAGAAAGGATTGGTTAATATGTTAAGATGTATAAAAGTATGACATATAAAGCAGCTGAGATTCCTGGAACACAAGCAGAACTGCTATGAGCAGTAGGGTTTGATGACTTGATTTTTTGGGGTTGAATCTATGTTTGTTTGGTTTGTAATTGGTTGGTTGGTTGGTGGTTTTTTTGTTTGGTTTTGGTTTGTGGTTTTTTTCTTTTTAATGAGAGTAGTAGAACATATTAAGAGTCTGTGTGTCAGTCAACAGGCCTTTACAAATCAATGCTATGTACACGGAGTATGGCAATGTCTACCATGATGTAAGAACACTACCTCGAGAAATTCATTGCTTCAAAGGAGGAGGCATTATTTTCCTGATGCATCAGAATTGCCTGGTGGCCTGCAAGAACACAAGTCATAATTCATTATCTGAATTTTTGTTCTTACATGAAAACATCTAGTGCTTTTCTTAGTGTTAGACAGAGCAGACAAACTGAGTTGTCATAGACTTTTCCAGCTTTGCACCTTATGCATCTTGAAGTACTCCTGGGAAATTACTACGTTTTATAAAGGAGGAAGGAGACAAAAGTGACTGGATCATAGAAGAAAATGTAACACATGACCTAATTATGTGAGCCTTCTATACAACTAAACTTTCATTGTATTTTATAGGAGTTTTGCATAAGAAAAGCTGTATCCTTAAAGTGAATGGTTTGTGAGTCTTGTAAATGTTTGTAAGATGTTTCCACAGCCTGTCATCCCAAGACATTAAGCAATCTTACATTGTTTCTAGAATACTTGGTGCTAGTGCCCCTTTCCCTCCCCCTCTCCCTTCCTTCCGGGATAGAAAGGAAGTAAATAATTGTGAACAACATTCTATTTTAAAAACATTACCTTGTTACTGAGCTATATTCTTGTTTAGTTGAAATAAAATTTTTAATGACACTTGTCTATAAAAAAATCACAAAGAATTCAGCTTAGTGCAGTGTTATTATTGATATAGAAAACATCTGTTTCTGTGCTATGCTATATTATACTTGTGATCTTTATCTCACTTTAAAGTATTTTTGTCTATTGTTGTTATGGCAATGCATGAAGATTGCAGCTGTGTGAATTTATTTTGGAGAATTGCTGATTTGAGAAAAATGTAAGTTTTTTTCATTTGGTTTGTAGGTAGGGTCTTTTTAACCATAGAAACTGCTATAGGACCAAAGCTGAGTCTTCACATTCCCTATTCATTTAGAGAATAGCAGAGAATAAACATTAAATCAAAGAAATACAGTGCACAGTCATGCATTAAAATAACAAACTTTTATTAGCACAAGTGAGGTTGTTTCATTTATGTGAACTTCCAGCCTATTTGTGTATGAAGATAGGTAATAATTTTCTAAGGATTTGAGAAGTTTCACAGTATTCTTGTCTTTCATGACATAAGCAGTCATCAGCTTGGCTTTTCTTTCTCTCTTTTCTCAGTGAATTACCTCATTGCTGCTCAATAAAATCACTGAACCACTCAGCTGTATCCTCAATAGTTGGTCTAGCAGAGAATACAAAGAAAGAGAAAGGATTCAGTGTCCAGAACCTGTAACTGAATTGACTTTTCAAAGAAACCCTTTTTTTTGCTAAGACTGGTTCTTTTCGATGTTACATGGAAACATCTGAACCTTTGGAAACCTTTTTTTTTTAATTCTTAGAATGCATTATTGTACTCGTTGCTTGTATTTATTTTAATAACATTCTTATTTATGTTCAAATATTGTTCTACAAAGCGCACATGAACTATTGAACAACACATACACACAGAGTTTAGTACTAAAGTTACTGTATGGTTTATTGTTTTTTTGTTATTAATTTTTGGGTTTGTTTTGTTTTTTTTTTTTAATTAAGGGCCATTTAATTAATGTGGTCAATCAGGAAGATTGCCAGATGGCATATAAACTTGCTTACCATTCAAAAATCCCCATCCAGATTTGTGGGTATTGCAAACCAGGCAGCTTCTCAAAGCCCAGTCTCTTTAGTGAGAAGAAATTTGCACTCTACATTTGAGGCATTGAGAAGAAACTGAAATCATTCAATACTGATGTGGAGGTGCAGTAATCCAGGTTAAATCAAATGCTGCAGTTATTTGGATTTGGTAGATGAGGTTATACCTCTCTGTCTAGTTGTAATACTAGCAGCTTTTTGCCAATTTGACAAATTCCATCCAATGCTGAATTAGATCAATGAAAATTCCTTGAGAAAAATTATCAATTGTATATGATGTACCTTTTTGATATTTTAAATCTGCATTTTTGTATGCAAATACTGCTATTTGTCTAACAGCATGTGACAATAAATCAATACTGTGTACTATTCTGCCTATTTGCCTGTTAGCTACAACTATAGGCAACTCTTGAATCCACATTTCTTGCACAAAGTTTCTTGACAGAAAAATGCTGGTAGTTGACTAAAAATGAAAAAAAGTATGGTTCTGATATACAAATTCAAATGTAAAAGGACTGATGGAGGGCAGCCTATATCCTTGCTCTGTTGAAACAGTCGTCAGAAAGCCAAAAGTTAATCAAGCAGAGAACAGTTGAAAACCTCATTTACAGAAATCACATCTGTTTAGGGGGAGAAAAACCTGAGGCATATGCTTCAGTTTCTTTTAAACTGTAATCCATACAGTGGTTTACATCTGTTAAGAAATATGGAACTTTTCGCACCTTTTTAAAGCACAATTAAACTGTATTTATTTTAATACATAATGTGTTCCAAATATGTAATACCTTTTCTGAAATGACTCATAGATGATTGATTTCATAACTCTTTATTATATAACCTTCCAGGTCCTTTGAATTAGTTTGTGTATTAACCATATATGAAATTTAAAGGAAAAGCTGTTGAAACAGTGCAAAATGATGCCAGGAACTTCATTGCAGTGGTCAATTTATATCAAGGCAACAAATTACCTAGAGGAGGGAGAGGGGAGTGGAAAGACAGTTTTCTTAAGCAGTAAAATAAAACATTACAGAGAAGAAAATGTAGTTCAAGGACTTTAGTCACAAAACTTTCATTTACGTTTAGCCTAGCTGTTATTGAATGTTGCTTATTAAAATAGATGTCTCCCTAGAGTGTCGTTTAACATGGCAGAGTCCCAACAATCTGACCATACTGTCCTGAGTTCAAAGCACAGTGATAAGAGTAGCTTTAGGAGCTACATAGGACAACCAAAAATATTTCAGGTAAAGATTTGGGGGGTTGTATCTCATTCTTTTGTGTATGAAAAGGAGCTTGGTACTCCACTGTGTGTCTATAGTGATTACTTGTATATTTTAAATTCTAATTGAATGGTGCCTCTTCTGATTTTAAATTCTCTGTGACTTTTACGTATCTGATGTTGTATTTAAAATCTGCCTTTTTGTATTTTCTGCTTCACTCAGATCCATTAACATCAGGTTTCTTTTGTGAAATGAAATATATGAAAATACACGTGTATGCATACATTATCTGAAAGACATTTTAATTAGATGATCACATACTGTATACCATAAGCCACATGCATCAGTCAGTACGTGGTCATTTAATAGCAGCTAATCAGTGTTTTGCTTGATTACCCTTCAGCTAGACCCTAATCAAGTTATAAACAACTGAAAATTGGGCTTTATGAATACATTAGAAATAGAGAACTTGCCTATTTTGTGTTAGCAAAAGAGATACAGATTATCATTTACAGTCTAACTGACCTACACTCTTCTGGTGTCATCTTGGGAAAAAATTCTCTGTCAGCCTCAGCTCTCTTCCTGCAAAATGGGAATGATTTTACAGTAGTAGAAAATCCAGTTATTATTATGAGTTGCCAATATTACAGCGATATGGAGGATTTAAGTATGCACATTTTGGTCTCTTTCAATGTGTGTCCATTTCACATTTTCTGGGTCTAGCAGAACACTTTTATTTTAAGAATGTTTTTTCATTGCTAAGTGAATAGTTGATGAAAAAACAACAGAGGAGGAGCACACACTCAAAAAAATATTTTTGTCTTCAATATGTCCTTTGTCAAATGGAGCTATTTGACAGCATCTCTTCCTGACAGATTTTTTAGAAATTAATCAGACAAATAAAGATTGAAAAAAATATGCAGCACTGTTTGAAGTGAAAATAATATTGAATATTTTTCAGGAAACTCCTTGTAACAGGGTGATAATATAAAAAATACTCTCAAATGTCATTTCCTATTAATATGCAAGTAACTGTGTCTATTTTCTTCCTGACTTTTTAGCAGTTCCATTTTTCAGTGCTTCTACCGGTGAAGCTCCTTTATTTAAGCTACAACATTTAATCATGTGTTCATTCCATTGTTCTGTCTTGTTGCAGAGGATCTTGATGATCTCAGAATGGAAGGAGTAACAAGTGTGATGTCTTCTGGGAACAAATTCAATCAGACTCGAAGTGCTCATACGGCTGAGCCTCAAGCAAAGGTCACATTGAATATCTGTGCAAGATGTGCCAGGTAAAAAGCAAAAAAAAACCCCAGATCATACTAGCCAATACCTTCTTTTCCCCAGATTTTTGGGTATGTGTTGTGCTTATGGGCCAGGTGATGACCTCTCCTGTGCTAAAGAAAAAATAATTGCTTAGCTACTGGCTACACTATGACCTCTGGCATTTGAATTGTGCAACTTATGTTTATGCTTGATATGTCACATCAACAATGAATCAAAGAACATAGTTAGTCTTAGGCCTTACTTCACAGCTTGAAACCATTTTAAGCCTTTCTGTCTCTGAATTTCATTAGTTATTTGAGCTTCTTTGGTTTTTCAGTGGATGAATCAGGGAATTTAAAGGTTCAAATCCAATTTGAAAAGCACCTGTATAAATGGAGATTTAGTTGCACAGGTGCAGTCCAGGATTTCAAATAGTTGCTTCTTAGCACTTTATAATCTCATCCTGTTTCACCTCTGAGAAATAATTTAATCAAGTAGAACCCCTTTTGGTTTTGACAGCTGGAAATAATTCTTGCATTTACAGTATGAAGGCCAAATAAACAGGTTGGTATTCCTGTAGACTAGTCAACTTGAGAATGCAACACTTACAGAAACCCCTTAAATTTCCTGGATGAATTCTTCTATGTAGACAAAAGCTCATTTGGAGAAAGGATTTAAGCCTGTTTAAATGACAAAACTAGCCTTCTCACCCTTCTGTTAATGGTTCAGATTAGCAAGAACAATACAGAGGCATGCCAATTTTATCTGCCAGCCTTTGCCAATGGCTGCTCTATTGTGTAGTTTGAGAGGGGATTAGCTGCTTGTAAATAAAAAGCAACCTGTGGTGAAATTAAGTCAAAAGTTTGGCCATATGCCACCCTACGTTTCTACTTTTTTCCCCATTTTGCTCGTAAATTACTAGTTTTATAAAGCACTTATGCAGGCAGAGGAGCTTCAAAACATTTTCTGAGGCTCTGGAAGCGTTAACTACAGGCATATTGAATCACCCATGAAATAGCATCTCTTTAGCAGGTTTGTGGAGCCTCAGGGAACTTCAGCTCACAGTACTGTCAGAGTACTGGATGGCCTTGCAATTCTAGAGAGTTTTTGCTGTCAGCAGCAGCGTGGCCTTATGCTTTAAGGAAAGAGTGAATGTGCTAGTCATGGGATTCTTCCCAATTCACCACAAACAAATTACTTATGTTGTAAAACGTCTTCAAACAACTAACTACATGAAAGTGTGGCACTTGTTTTTTTTACCTGGCATCCGTTGTCCAGGTATTAACAAGTAGAAAGGTAAGGAATATAGAAATTTTAAGTTTTCTACATGGTCTTTCTGAACTTACAATAACATATGGATTACTATGAAGGTTAATTAAATTTTGAATTCCCTAAAGTAGCCGCTAACAGCAGGTGCCAAGATTCTATATGTTCTCTCAATCCTGCACATCAGGGAGCAAACGGCTCAGATCTTGAGCCAAACCTAGCAACCTTGGCTATTGCTATTGTCCTTTAAATGCCTGTACTGTATGACTGCCATCTAAAATATGAGCTGTGAGAGAATGATCTCATAAAATCCCTTTTGCCACTTCGCTTATATGAGAGAATGCAAAACAGTGCTTTATTTTGCCTATACACCTTCATTTTATTCCCTTCTATACCGTCTCATCAGGAGCAAGGGAAGTCAAAAGAGACAAATGGGTGTTGCTGTTGTATTCACTGATGAGGAAAGTAGCATTAATTCTTCAGGGTGGTAATGTTAGTCTATCTATTCTTTTGGAGCATTCCTTCCTTCTTTCTGAGTCTTAAGACACCTTTCCTCTCTTCAAGACAGTTAGCTCTCTCTCTGGTACCTTCAAAGGGGTTTTGTCCAGAGCCTTCTTGCAGCTGAAGTAGTGAGTACAGAGAGTTGCATGAAGCAAATGGTTTCAAGGACATGAAGACAGAGATTTTTTCCTATTTGGTTTCAAGAGCAATTAGATTTGGTTTTGAGAACAATTAGATTTTCTGTTACTCAGTGATATAGCCATTCAAAATACTGTGCTATAAAATTACAATCTAAGTATTTTAGTCATCTCTCTGGAATTTTCTCAGTGTTGGCATTTATTTCCATTGTAGTGACAAAGCCTAGTATTTAATGAAAGGTCAAAATATTAAAGTTATTAGTGTATTTATTTGTTTTAGAAATTATATTTTTATACTTTCATATTCTGTTTTATAAACAGTCTTGTGTGCTGTACAGTGTGTATATTAGTACTGTGAGATTTAATTGTAGGCCTGTTTGAATATAATTGAAAATTAAGTCAATATAGGTTGTTATGCATATTTTTTGTTACAATTAAACAGGTGTCTTTCTTAATTTTACACATTTCTCAGTTATACAAAGTGATTTCAAATGAATGGAGCTGTTAATGGCAGTGGGTGTTCTGTAGATAATAGGGTTTGTCAAATCAGATTACCAGCTTAGATTTGCTGAAGGTATTTTAGCTGTCTTTGGGAGAAATATGACTTTTTACCTGAAATCTAATTGGCAAAGTTCCAAATGTTGGAATATGTGCTTCTTGGCTCAGACAAAAAGTTTAATTTTACACTTGCATTTGCATAATCTGTTTCTTTCACCTT